CTTATTAACAGACTAGCAAAAGAATGGTTTATGGAAGGTTAGTATAGGATGACAACATAACTTAAATGATTACAGTGCTTCAGCATAATGTAAATCTCTAGAGTTAGTTGCTGAGGTTGTTACGCACATAAGTCACCTGCACTATGTACAACCTCTATGTTGTGGTTGCTTTGTTTTCCCTATGAAGGTTACGTCTTTTGCTTTGAAAATTCAGTGTTCTGATGTGAAGGTTCTGACTCATCATTTGGTTCAGTTTACTGCTCACATTTGCCTAATTTATAATTGTGGAGAATCCGTTGGAATAAGTTTGCATCCCTGTCAAATAATTAAATGTGTTCCTATACTCACTTCACTTCTGTGATTCGATCTAAATTTAGGATGAGTTGATAAATTATCCTCTATTGATAATGGTGTACGTCCTCTCTTTGTCCATCATCCATGTTTCTTTATTAATGTACATTAACAGAAGATTATATGCTCACTTCTTACCGTTTCACGATGAATTTTATGGTCATAACGTGTGACTTGTATGCATTACGTCCCTTTTAGTTCCTAAAATAAACGTAACCGTATTTTCTTTAAATAATTATGATAGTTCCTTCCCGTACAAAGTTATAATTTGCAGTTTCTTCTACTTCAAAGATTATTACAAACAATGTAAGAACATTCATAGATAGACTTTGAACTCATGAGTTTTAATGTATGATGTGTTGACACAGGTGAGGCTTTCATTTCACAAGAGTTGGTCAAAGACTTGGGTGTAGAAGAAGCATGATTGAAGGTTTCCAAAAACAAGTCGCAAAATAGCAACAAATGCAGGTTTCTTTCGTGCGTTACTTTTACCTTTTAGATTCCGAAGGTTTCCTCCTGAAGTTGGTTTATTTGGCAATCCACCCAAATGCGAAATGCTTTTTTGAAGTCATTAAGAAAACTGTCGGAAAGTATTGATAGGAGACGGTTCTATTGTTGTGTGGTTGTTCATAACTCCTTGAGTTTGATTCCAAGTCATGTTTGTTTTTGTAATATTTTTTACCAGGTTGTTTGATGGCACAATGTGTTTAAATTTTGGAGCTCTTGGCGGGGTTTACATGGATCAAATGATTAATTTTTTTTTAAAGGAGGGTAACATGGTAACTAGAGAAAGAGACGACAATCACGATCTCAATCCCGTTAACGTATTATTTACTTCATTTTCATTGTCGATGATAACAACGGAAGTCTCTTCCACGATATACGATCTCGATCTCATTAACGATTCTTTCTCGATCATATATCGCAATTCTAGGTTATCAAAATCATCACATTTATCTTGAATCCATAAAGCGATCTTGAGAAAGATGTTCATTTTCATCGTAAAACTATAATGGTATATGTGAATCCAATATTAATTTATGAATCAATTAAATAGTTCATATATTGATTTTAGCATCTTTATTTCATTTTATTGCCAAAAAGAGTTGGAGGCTATTAGGAACCCGTATCCCTTCATGCTTTAGTTTAAACTCTCTTTTTTCTATTTGTATAATCAAATATTTGAGGTAGTCTTCTTCATCACATATCTTCATGATTTAATGTTGATGTCATTAATGTGTCGTGCTTGCGGAATACCTTAATAACTTACATTTGAAGAAAGGATTCAAATGCTAGAGGTTTGTAAAGAATATATAACACCTTCAACTAATCCAGCAAATGATGTTTACACAAAAATTGTTTGCTTACCGAGTACTAAAACTATTGTTATGCATAGATGAACTATTTTTAGTTCTTCTTGCATTTTTGAAACATGATCCAATAGAAAGTTGGTGTCGAAGTAGATCCACTTGGTATACTTAACATAAATTCAAGGAGCACGAGTTTCATCGGAGATTAGTGTATTATATTCGACATTTGAAATATGATCCGAGGCATTATCAATTGCAAATGAAGAGGAAGCTTCCGAAAAGCTGTATAAAAAAGGCAGAGATTATACTTATCGAAGAAGGTTCTAGTAGAATTACTTCCTCAGCTACACTTCCTAAGGGTGCTAAACCTATGAAATCATTCTATCACAGAGGTACCACAATCCATTGGTAGTCTCAAGCATATTCGGTACATCAATTTTTCACGAACTGACATCACATGTTTACCAGATGAAGTTAGTGACCTTTATAATCTACAGAGATTGTTGGTTCGTGGTTGCCATAGGTTATCTAGCTTGCCATACAGTTTTGCGAAGTTGATAAACATGCGACATCTTGATATTACTGATACTCCACAGTTGAACAAGATACCCTTGTGGGGATCAGAATCGAAGGCGTGCAAGTTCCTTGTGAGTTTAAAGAAGTTGGAAGTAGATAGATGTGAAATGTTGGTATCATTGGGAGAGAAAGAGGGTCATTTAGGGATTAGCTTGGCTTCTCTTAAAGAAGTGGAACTTTATGGTTGCAAGAAACTTGAGCATTACAAGTGTTCGAATAGCATCGAGAGGCTGGTGATATGGAATTGTGGTTCAATGACATCCTTGACCTTCCCAACAATGCTGGACCTCTCATCCAATATAAAGATTATTCACATCGACGGTTGTGAAAACCTGGAGAAAAGTTGGCTTCTCAACAAATTCTTGTCGTCACTTGAATCTCTTGTCGTTTGGCGTTGTGACGATATGATGTCGTTTCCTGAAGGATGCTTTGTTTATCTCACCAGATTGGAAATATGGAATTGTGATAACATAGAATCCATTCCAGATAAAGGTTTTGGCTTTCTTCCCCTGTTTTGCCTAAAGACTCTTTGGATCCGTCGTTGTAAGAATCTGAAGTCATTTCCTCACGAGCATTTGCCAAGTCTCACATCTTTGGAAGAGCTGAAGATTAACAACTGTCCAAGTCTGGACTATTCCTTTCCTTGTGGGTTATGGCCTCCTAATCTAAGAAACCTAAGAATAGGATGTTTAAATAAGCCCATGTCCGAGTGGGGGGTGCAAAATTTTCCAAGTTCACTTGTTGAACTGCGTTTATACGGGCAGAATTCAGGAGTGGTTTCATTTGAAGATGTAAGGAATACGACTCCATCATCTTTTCTTGTGCCACCATCTCTAACTTCTTTACATATCGATTGTTTTGAGGACTTGGAATCAGTTTCAACGGGCTTACAACACCTCACTTGCCTTGAAAAACTTGCAACTTGGTCATGCCCGAAACTTAGAGATCTACCAGAGAAACTACTTCCTTCACTTTCGTTTTTGAGGGTGAGAAATTGCCGGAAATTGGAGAAAAGGTGTCGCGGTGGAACAGGCAAGTACTGGCCCATCATCTCCCAAATCCCTCACCTTGATGTATGATTGATGACGGTATGTCTTCTCCTTGTTCATCGTCTATTTGAGTTGAAAACGAGAAACATTATTAGACCTTCATAGAGAAAACAGAAACAGAAACAGGTTGCAAGACATCTGGTGCAAAAACTGCATGTAGTTATGGTTTTGGCTAGGATAAACAGTAAAAAATGAGCATCCATCTTGTCGAGTTCGTTTTTCGCCTTGAGAGTTGTTTTGATGGGGATTACATGGTATATCATATCATGATGACTTTATTTGGGTGCTTTTGTTGTAACAGCAATGCTTAATCAGGTTGTTGATGTTACTATAAGTTATGGAAGTTGTTGATGGCTTGAGGCTAAGTGAATACAGCAATATGAAACCTTATCAGACGCTACCAAAGCCGTTATGGAATTGGAGGTTCACCTGTGATGACTCCAGGAGACTAGTGGTCGCCTGATGTATATAAGCTGATCCAGAAACACACGGTTACCTGAAAAACGTGGGGGATTAATTTGCTTATAAATGATGTCTGGAAGGATTATTGTAAGGAGATAAATATTGAACAAACTACAAATAAACTCGGTACTTTCTTCACATTTGGTGAGATTTGAACCCTCAAACTTCTTAAAAGACCAAAAACTCAGATATCGTTAACTAAAGGCTCAGATTGGTATCTGTACTGTTGCAAGACATCTGGTGCAAAAACTGCAATGTAATTACTTAATCATGGAGTTTAATGTCATTTGTATGTCTGTGCACATAGGGATATGAGTGTAAAAGTTGTCCCAAATGGAAAAACCAACCAAACATGAGCAGAATCTCATATTGATTTTCATTAAAATAAAATAAAAATGATATAATTAGAGAACATAAATTCATATATTTGATTGAATACTGGGTTTGGTTTAGAAAATACAAGTTATATTTTTAGTTTATTACTATTCTCTCATACTTTGTGTTATATATTTGAATCGAGTAAAAGACTTGGAATCACGTGAGACCAGTTTGTTTTTTTAGACCCGTGAGACTGTTTTTTTTGCACTTGAAACTTTACAGAATTTAAGTAATTACATTGTTTTAGCATAATGTCATTATCTTGGGTTCTTAAGCACATAAACCAACCACAAGAGTGGTGCCTGATTGGTTTGAGTTTGGCTTCAAAGGTCAAAAGTACTAGGAGGTATCAGGTTCAAATTCAAGGAGGAATAAAAATCCCCTTGTGGCCACAGAGGTTCAAATGCGGTGACTCCGGGCTATTTGCAAAGCAAGTGATCGCTCTGAGATTAGTCGGCTCGCATAACGAGTTGGATATCTAGGTTAATAAAAAAAAAAAGAACATAAACCGTCCCACACCATCCCTCACGTGTAGAGCTTCCGTGTTACGGTTTGTTGTATTTTCATGTAAAAGTTCCTTTTTCACGTCAAGTTTCTATTGTTTTTGTTTTGAAACTTTAGTGTTCTTTTGTTAAGGTTCAACGACATCAACTCATCCAACGGCATTTGGTTTGGTTTGGTTTACTATTCGTAAAAAATTATAATTTTGGCGAATTCATTGGAATAGGTCTATAGGGAATGGTTCAAACGAGAACACATTCATTTTACAAAAACATGAGAACATCTTTTCACTGTAGACAATCACATGTGATACTATTATTTCATCACATATGATACACATGTCATGCAAAATCAGAGACGCGGACAACTTTTGGCATGATCTAGGTTGCGGGCCAAGTCGTTCAAACATAAGCAACCTCACATGTATCAAATGTGATAAGGGTGTTATTGGTGTTATATTATAATTTATCAAGGCCATCACATGTGATATTAAATTATAAATGCACACGACCTTTGGTGTGACTTAAGTTGTAGGACACGTCGTCCACACACCATTAGGTTCCCTCACGTTAGAGTTGATCATTTGCGGGCTTGGGTTGGGCTTTACCTTTTTTTTGTCCAACGGAACTAATATGATAAAATCAAACCCGTTTTTACGGGCTTGAAAACTTACCCATACCCACCCTATAAAAGGGTCGGGATTCCTCATAACTTAACGTACTTAAAAAATGTTATTATATTTTTATGAAAACAAAACTTATATAAAATCACAAGTTATGTAAAATAATTCAAAATGCATAACAATTTTTCCAACTTAAGATTTGACGTAAATACATAAAAATATACATACTTTAGAAAGAAATTGTTTCACTAAATATGAAGTATTGATAAAGAAAATGACTAAATGATATAATAAGGAATTGATCAATTGAGATAATTATATTTTCAAATTTAAGATGTTTAAAGAATGTTATATCATGAGACATAATTAAGTAGGAATTGATAAGTATTAAGAATTTTCAATTTAATTTGTAAACTTTAATATAAAAGTTAATTATTATAAAAATATAAATGGGTTTGGCTGACCTGTCCAATTTTTTTTTCATTGCCCATGTCCGCCCATTAATTTTAACAAGTCAGTTCAGACCCACCCATTTCTTTGAGAATGGTAATCTAAGTCTACATTTCTAGCGGGCCAGACAGGACGGGTCTAGCGGGTCATCCAACCCATGAACAGTCTACCTCACATAAGTGATAAGGGTGTTCTCGTTTAAATCTCTATCAGTTTTCATAACAAAATTAAATTTGTCTTTTTATAATTGACCCAATCTTTTGATTTGATCTGAATACTAAACCATTCGAATGCAAACAGACTCAGGGGTTGTTCGGTTCGTTTTCTATTAAAACCTGCATGGATATAATTGTTTGTATATTAACAAATAAGTTGTTGTTCGGTTATTATTCTGAATAAACAGTTCGAATGTCAAAAATGACCATTTTATCCCATGTCTATATTTTACTTTTATTAGACTTTTATATACTTGACAAGTAGACCCACATCCCTTACACAAAGAAATCAAAGGGAAATCAAAAACCTCCAGAGCGATCCCCGATCTGTTGGTATAGCCAAATCAACCTCCTCACGCAAAAGTAGGTGTCCTTCATGCAAAACCTCATATCACAGGCAGTGATAATATCAACACCTCAATCATAAGGGTGATGTCTCATTGGTTTGAGTTTGGCTCCAAATGTCAAAAGTGTCAAAAGGTCTCAGGTTCAAATTCAAGGAGTAGCAAACATTTCTTTGTGGCCACGGAGTTTCAAATGCGGGGACTCCAGACTATCTGCAAAGCAGGTGGTTGCCTGGAATTAGTCGGCTCCCAAAACGGATTGGATATCCATGTTAATAAAAAAAAATATCAACACCTCCACCAATACAAGCACCTTGTACAACGGAGATGACGGGTTTCCGGCAGTTATCGATGGCAGTGATAGCATCCTGCATAAACTTGATCTGCCGGCGGGATCTTTCCATAGAACGACCAGGGTCCGAACAAATGTGGATGTCTGCAGTAAGCGAGGTTAGCACTTTGAGATTGATGCCGGCACAAAAGTTATTGCCTTTGGCGGATAAGATGATGACAACGTTAGGGTTTTGGTCAAGAGAGGATAGGGCAGCTGGGAATTCTTGAAAGAATTCGGATGAGAGGGCATTACTACGGTGAGGCCTGTTTAGGCGAAAGATGAAGACGGAGGAGGAGCAACAATGGAGTGTTGAGGGAGAGGGGTAGTTGAGGAAATTTAATGGCCGAATACAAATGACACATGTTTTATAGCCGATCGATTCAGCCATGATCTGATCGAATAAGCCCATACCAAACAGCCGGATATTACTAACCGAATAAATTGTACGACTTGTACAGCCCGTTAAGACGAAACCCAAAAACCTCTTCCATATGTATGAGTTTGAACACCCAATTGCCCAATTCGCTCGTCATCTGATCTGATGCACAGTCACCGATGAAATATACCTTTTTCCCTCTTATCCATAACTTTCTCTTTCTTTTGAATAATTTCGTTGAACATTGGATCGTATTCGTATCTATATAAACCGAGGGGTATTCTAACCCCACCCCCTGCTACCCCAAAATCCCCACCCCCTCCTACACTAAAGACAAAAGACAACAAAAAGACAAAAGTTAAATATTTTCATTTTTAACCTTTTAATATTTTAACTTTTAACCCTAACTTTTTTATATTTTAACTTTTAACCCTTTACTTTTTTAACATGTTTTATATTATTATTAATTAATAAAATATTAATAATACATATTAATGAMATATTAATAATACATATTAATAAAATATTAATAATAYATATTTCAAATATAAATTAAATTTATTAATTAAAACTTTGATTTTTCATGTTAAATCAACATATTCACTAGTAAGAGTACGCTCTATATATTCTTCATATGCACTGAATCTATGTTGATACGGGACAATCCATGTACTTGCATCTTCAAAACGATAACGAGTCCAATGGTGCGTAAGTGTGGGCATTGGATATTCT